TAAAGGAACAAACGTATTTATGTAATAATGTAGTTAACTACAGTGTGTATGTGTATATTAGTATAATGTAGTCGTGCTTTAAATATCCTAACCTAACCCTAAAAAATATTTTTCTTACCTATATACTTATAACTACTATAAATGTAATAAAACTTATTTAAGTACCTAGTAACACAGAGTAAGTGGTTAAAGCACAGAGCTTAGTTTAAAATTTAAATTATGTTTAGTCATACTCATAGCATATGAATGGTTCTGAAGCAGTTGTCAAATTTGATTACACATTAAATAGTTAAATCAAATGACAAAAGGGAAAACTAATAAGTAAAATAAAATTGTTCTGTTGAGGTAAAGTTTTTATAATTAGTTCACTAACAGAACACAGTGTGTAGGTGAAAGTATAAAAAAAAACTATTAGTTATAGTACACAGTTATTCTCATAATATATATATATATATAATATATATAAGTACATTAGTATTATATTTAAGTGTATTATGTATGTATGTATGCATATGTCCACATTAATTACACATTCGTTAGTAAGATAAAATATTAATTTAAGGCAATGAATAGGTTATAATAAATATATAATAATAGTTCATAAGTAGTAATTAACAGTTATTGGAATTGTAAAATTGAATGTACAGGTTAGGTTAATTTCAAATTATTAAATGGCGATAGAACAGTTTTAATAGTCGAGTCAAATGCATTTATCATAATTTTTGGTCTTAAAAATATATGTCAGTATGAATTAAGCATGGGGCTAGATTGTATTAATTGTATAAATGTACACACAATGGAAAGAAAATATCGCTCATAATATGTAAGTGAAGGTAATATAATATGTAGTGTTTAATAACACTATAAAAACCTTATTTCGTTAATAATACTCAGTGATAAGTACATTCCTGTCGTAGAATAATCTAAAAATGTCATTGTAGTAAGCAGGTTTATTGTTGAGATAATAAAATATGTATACTGACTTTTGTTATAGTTAAATAAAAAAATTTTAACTTTAAAATCAAGAACCAATCAAAATACAAAGAAATTCACAGAAGAATGTTTAATTTTTTGAGCATTTATACATATTTATATTCTTTCTAACAACAATAAATTTGAAACATTGTAAAAAACGTATTGCACTGTATAACAGTAAGTGTTATAGTGAAATCATAATATGATACATGTTGTAGGTAGTTCAAATCATTTTTCAAAGAGCTGTACAAAATAATGTTTAATTGAATGTGTATTAAAATAATATAAACATTTCTAAGAGTACTACATGTGAAATGATAAAAAACTTATCTAGTACACAACTTAGAAATGACCTAGATCAGTAGTAAGTAGTAATAGTAAAAAAGAGTGTAGTTTAATACAGAATTTTAACTTAAAACAATAAAAAGTAAAACTTTTAATACATATTTAATATAATCTTGTGTTGGTTAGGTTTAATGTGCTTATATGTATAACCATAACAATAACAATTGTATTGCACTCTATAACACTATGTGTAGGTACTCAAATGCAATAAGTGCATTTCTATGAGAATTGCATTATATGATAAGTTGAATGTAAAGTTTATGTTACATTGAAATATCATACATGGTGTGTAATAAAATCAAGTGCACCTATATTTATCAAATAAGTAACACTGCAGTACAAACAAAGTTAGTTGTTTAAATAAAGTAAACAAAGTACTGAAATGATCTAAATGAGATCTTAACACTTATCCAGTACACAATTCACAAAAAAAAGGAGTGGTAATACCTACTTTGTATAGTAGTAACATTAAGAAAAATTGTATTGTGTCAAGAGTTCCGTTTAGGTCAATATAGTAAAAGTTGATATATTAGTATAGTTATAAGTTTATAAGTATAGTTATAATTTTAGGTAAAGTATGATAATAAGCTCGACCTAGTGTTTGTTATGCAATTGAAATCTGAAACAGCAGTAACACAATTGATTGTCGTTCAACTTATTCTACAATTTAATTTCTATACAATAGTTTATATATAATAGTTTTCAAGAATGTTGTATCGAGCCAGTATAGTAAAGTAGGTAGGTATATAGCAGTAGCAGTATGTACAGAAACAATAATATGTATCTAAGAGCATAGTGAATAATTAAGCATGTAAGGAATGTTGACAATTACATACTACAGTGGGCTACACTATCCAACATTATATTAAGTAATTTCCATATTGTAAATGTTGTGAAAATTGATCAAACTTGAAATGATAAAGACACGTACCTATTTATCATGTTTATTAGTATACTTGTGTGAGCTTACATGCATTATGTTGCAACAAAAACGTTGAATGTCATTGAGTTATGTTATTAAATTAAGTTAGGTTGCTTGTCGTTAGCCACAAGTTTGAAAGACACAGTAGGTACATTAAACCCATGAGAGTACACAACAGTATTAGTATTAGAAGTCCAGCCAGACGGGCATACAGGCATGGTGCACTGCAATGAATATACTCACCAAAGACGGCACTGCTGCGGGCCTCAAACGGCGGCGCAGCGCGTTTCCCACAGCGTAGTCGATACCGGGGACGAAATGCCTCGAACACAGCTGAGATGTGTGGTTCACGGGAAAACCTTGGTCCACCACAAATGCCACACACTGAAGACGACGTTGTACGGCGATTGGAAATCTAAGTGGCGACACATAATTTATTATGATAAATTGATATTTAACGAGTTGTGTGAAATACCTGTATACGGAAACGTCATCGTCGTTGTTGTCCACAACTCCGCATAGCGCGCAGCGTTTGACCATTTTGAATAGCCTAAAAACATCACAAACGAATATAATATAATCATGAAAAGTATAAATGCTGAATACTCGTAAAAAAATCGTTGCAATCGAATATAATGACTGTGTCAGTTTGTTATCAGCGACTTGTGTTATTTTTAGAATGAATAGGTACACACCGGCTAACGTGATGCACATAAAAAATAGAAAAATGACATACCCAGCTCGTAGTAGCACAAAAAAAAGCGATAAAACACGTGTACTGCAATGGTAACGCGCCGAAACGGCCAACGGACTTACACGTCGACTTCGGCGACAGCTAATACGAATGCGGATATAAAAAACGTTACCTATAGGTATTCAAAGTGTACGGAAAAAACACGAAACAGCGGAAAACGATGTCTGTAGGTGGTGAAAACATTATGTTCGTTCGCGATACGCGCCGCCATGAATGCACCTGTAGTTTATATGCATAGAATATAGTATAGTAGTAGATATAAAAGTTGACTTACCGGTGTGTGAAAAGCGCTCAATGAAGAAAAACAAAAGTCAAAGGAAAGCACTGATATATTAAATAATAACACAAAGTAATAGGCTTTTCCGTGACAGTTGATGTGCGTTGCAAGAGGGCCGGTCACCTCGTGATCAGGCAGGTCGAAACAAACGCGTGTCGCGTCGCCAAAGTTGTTCCCCCGCGGCTCCACTCCATCACTCCACCGGTATAATGTCGCGTATAAGAACGGTCGCACTGTAGTATCGCAGCCCACAGTGTCGCTCCTAAATCATAATAATATTAAGTATAATAACAATAATAAGAAAAAACGACGTCCTTACCTGAAATCGTTGAAATCGTGACGACGCAGCGTCCTCCGCGATCGACTCGTGCGCCGCGGCCGAGAAAGCGCGGCCTATAAAATTAGAGGGGAACGCGAATAAGTCGTCTACGGGGAGGGCAGAAGTGTCGAAAAGGGCTAGGACTGGAATTTTAGAAAAAAACGGCAATAAACGACAGTAGGTAAAAAAAGACAGTTCAGAAGGCGCATCCGCTCGCCCTTGCTCGCCCTTGCTCGCCCTCCTCGCCATTGCTCGCCCTCCACCGCCACCGCCGCCCGATCGCGCACGTACGCGACGTACATTTTACCCCTCCCCCACCCACCGCTTACGTTCGTGACGTATATTCCCCCCCCCCCAAACCCGCCGCCCGATCGCGCACGTGCGCGACGAATATTTTACCCCGCCCCGTCATCGTATAGCGCATGCGTACAACATATTTTCGCGCATGCGCATATATTATGTATGCATCGAACGACCGTTTTGTATATATTATCTAAATTTTTCAAAAATAAATATTGAAAAAAGGCCACAGGTTGGCGCATGGTCCGTGCTCGGATGCGGTCAACAACAGATCAGAGTGTCCCGACATACCCTAGTTATTGTTAACAATGACATTCTTCAACAAGGGTTGTGACTATACCCTTCGTTTTGTATTCATGTAATATCTTAGAACATTGACGGCATGCGACAAGGTTTTATGAGACCCGAGTCATGTTTATTACTTTTATTATAACTGTACTCGACACTCGTAATTCGTAAACTCTTTTGAGGGTGGGTGGACCCTAAAAACGTTCACGCCACTACTGGTGACCTAGAAACTCAGTCGTGTTTTTAACGTTGTACATTGATAAATAATCTATTAATAATTAAATATGGTTAAATTATTTAAAAAATATTCGTGTATATCGCAAACAAAAACACACGCACACACACACACACACACACACACACACACACACACACACACACACACACACACACACAGATTACACGGTTAACCTGCAAGGTCACCGTTGAATGACCACAGCCACCCTTTCACGCATCATTAGTCTTCACCCGATCTTTTACCAAGTCATACGTAGTGTGTAAAGTATTTTAAAATGTCGTGTAACAGCAGCCAAGTGTCTACAATAAATACACCAGATATATCTGCAGGATTCATTGATTTCTTAGCGAATGGCGAGTTTGATGAAATGGTAAGTTAAGTTATTTTCATATTATAATTAAAAATAATACAGTTAATACATATTATAGCTATCAAATACACCAAGACGTGTCTTTTATAGTACATTACTAAGCCAAGAAGAAAACATATCTTTTGGCGATGAACAAAATAGTAAAAATGTGAGTATCTTGTTTTATATTATTCGTAAGATATTTTAAGAATTACATATAATCCGATTTTTAGATGTCAAATAATTCATCACCGAGTACACCGGTATACGGAGGAGAGGAGTATAATCGACGTCTGGCCGAAATACATAGCCAGTCTCCAGTCTCCAGTCCCCAGTCTCCAGTTCTCATCAACATGCATGAGCATGACTTTTTCGTATTTGGTGAAATGGTAAGTTTTTTTGTTTTAAAAATAAAATATAAAATAAATTATTATTATTATTTAGACTCAATCCGGAGATAGTGGTTACTTGACTAACGAGAGCACGCAAGTTGAAAATAATCATTTTCATAGGGCATTTTCGCCTCTTAATCCCCCTGCAACACCATCACCACCTCGAGTATCACCGGTTCAGCCTGTCTTGTTGGAAGAAGCTTCGCCAGACATGTTTCCGCCAACAACACCGGTTCAGCCTGTCTTCTTGGAAGAAGCTTCACCAGACATGTTTCCGCCGACAACACCGATAGCACACGTACTGAGGGTGAGAAACGACCTTTTTCCAGACTTAGATTCCCAGTCCTCAGTTTCACATAGCACGGTAGAAATTCCTCGGGTCATGTTAGCCCCCGAATATAACATGCTATTTGAAGGGGAAATTATGAATACGTCGCGTCATTCTGGAGAGCAAACAGCAGAAATGGATTGGAGTGAAGACGGAAATAACGAGGAGTTGATCAGTCATATGGAGGCATATGAAGATGATGAAGAACTTAACCGGCACATGGATGAATATGAAGGTTTTTGAGGGGGTTGTAATAATTATATTATTATTATTAAAATATATATATTTTTAAATTTTAAAACCATGCATTCAATAATTTATATTTTCAAACTATATTAATATTTTTAAATATTTTGTTAGATGGTTATGTTAGCGGCAATTTTAAAAGTAACATTTAGGTCATATTTTTGTAAGGCTTCATCGAGTAAGGGTTGTGTATAGAAATATACACCATTGTGTTAGGCACGTATTGATAGTAAACGTTCTATTGTCGGTGGAACGACCTGTTTCGTCCGGTCTGTTCGCTTTTCTTGGTATGACAGTAACTATTTTTGTCAAGGTGACCTAAAGGGGTATCTATTGTAAGCTGATGGGACGAAAATCTATTGTTAGATGTTGAGTCGCAACATACAAGTGTATATCGTGTTACAGCCGTATGACCTACATAATATTTTTCGTATAGTTAGACTGGTCAACTGTAATTTATTTACTCCCCCTGTCAAGGGTGAAAGAATCTTTTGTAATACCTCAGTGCAGACCAAGGATGATACGGTCATTCGATTACATTTCTCCCCTTCACGTATTGATAGTAAACGTTCTATTGTCGGCGGAACGACCTGTTTTTACTGATAAACGATGGTTCCTAAAATAATTGGTAATAACTAGTGATTTATACATTTATCATAGTAAATACCCGATTAATATTTTGGTAACCCACGGCTTGAAATGCTACCCTCACCAAAAATGTCGAGATTTCTGGACACTCGCTCCGTTGTCCGCCAAGACATAGTCAGTCTGTTCCAGACACCCATACCTTTACGCGCACTTTGCCTTTACTCAACAGTTTTTACAAGTGTTTAATTTTTGCAAGTGTTTTAAACACTATATTATTTTTCATCTCGTTTTTATTTCAAACATTTTAATCATGTTTAAATGCGAACAGTGCCCGTCGGTTTTCACCGCAAAACGTAATTTGGTCAGACATGGCAAAACTCATGCGGGCATACGTTTCCCATGCACTGTATGCGATAAATTGTTCAACGATAAGTCGCATCTTAAAAGGCATATGAAGAACATTCATGGTATGTGTTGAAAGGAGGTTATAATATGGATCGACAAAAGATAAAATATACAACACAATTTAGTTATAGTAAGAATACGTAATATTTCACTAAAACTAAAACACATAACTAAGTATGAAAAGTAATTTGACTTCCAACAATGTAAGTACTATGTTTACGAGATATACATGACATACACATAAGTAATACCTAAAATGCAGTGCCTACAGTACACAACTAAACAATCTTATATACTAATGATCTACTGACCCCTGGCTCACGCCACTTTACAAGCTTGCTTATTGGCTAATACAATATCACGCCATATGTGGTGTGATTTATCAGATTCTAATAACAGCTATATTTTGTTATACACAATATGATTATACTACTAATACAATATTAAATTATATTCAACACACCCCCGTAATTAATATTTTATATAAACAAAAAAAATTAAAGTAATTTCAACACTGATAATTTTTGCCTTAATTTTTCAAACCTATCCTTCGGAAGTGGCTTAGTAAATATGTCTGCATATTGTTCTTCTGTTTCAACGTACTGTAATCGAAATAATTTTTCTTCAAACTTTTCCCTGATGAAATGATACCTGACGTCGATGTGTTTAGTTCTCTTGTGAAACTCTGGATTTTTCACAAGTCGAATTGCACTCTGATTGTCCACATACAATGTCGGTTGTCCACCCGTTGTACTGGTGCAGATTTCTTTTACCAATCTGTCAATCCAAATCAATCCTTTGATTGTTTCACACGCCGAGATATATTCTGCTTCAGTTGAACTTAGTGTTACTATGGGTTGCCTTTGCGCTTGCCATGATACCGTAGATACTCCTAGCATGAACACATGACCAGAAGTTGAACGTCTTGTCTCTGAATCTCCTGCATAATCTGAGTCTGAAAATACGCTTAAACACAAATTTACGTTAGATTTGTAACATAAACCAAATGTTGTTGTTCCTTTTACATAACGAATTATTCGCTTTACCATGGTCCAATGTACCGACGTTGGATTATTTAAAAACCTACTAACATAGTTAACAGCGAATGCTATATGACTCTATACTCTATACTCTCGTGACTTGAGATAAGAATAATAAGTTTCCCACAGCCTGCCTGTATGGAAATTGATTATCACTCGTTGTTAATTTCTGTTCTATAGTATGTGACCTATCAATTGGTGTAGATAACTCCTTCGCATCTAATAAATTAAATTTACTAATAATCGAATTAGCGTAATTTGTCTGGTGTATACATATTGATCCGTCAGTACATCTAGTTATTTCCATACCTAGAAAATAATCTAAATTACCCTGTGTTATCTCAAACTGTTGTTCAAGACCTTGCAACAATTCATTTGTTTTTATTATGCTACTCGACGCTATCAAACCATCATCAACGAAAATAGCTAAAATTAATGTTTCATTATTATAATGATTAAAATAAATACATGGATCCGATGCACTTTGTTCTAGTTTGAACTCTAATAGAAATTGCTTAAATCTATTATTCCAACACCTTGGCGATTGTTTCAACCCATACAAACTTTTATTTAGTTTGCATACTCGTTCTGTTGAATCTTCGAATCCAATAGGTTGTCTCATATATATGTCTTCCTCTAGATTACCATATAAAAATGCCGTTTTTATATCAAATTGTTTTAAATCGTAATTTTCTGCTGCTGCAACGGCTAAAATTGTTCTTATTGATTCATACCTTACTACTGGCGAAAACGTTTCTGTATAATCAATACCATATTTTTGTCTTGATCCATTAATGACTAACCTAGCCTTAAAACGATCATTATGTTTTATTTTATAAACCCATGAGTTGTTTATAACATTTGCTCCCACCGGCTTTGATACCAAAGTCCACGTTTCATTATCACCTAATGATTTAATTTCATCGTTCATCGCTTCTACCCAATTAGTTGCGTTATTGCACGAAATGGCTTCTTTGTATGTTAATGGCTCAGTTTCTACATACTTGGTAACGAATGATTGTGCAACATACCTGTCTGGTGGTTTTAATTTTGTTCTATCACGTAGTTGCATATTTGGATGTTCTTGTTGACTTTCTGTGTCGTTTTCCACTGGTTCTGATTTTATCTCATGAACCTGTTGTTGATTTTCATCATACACTACTACTTGTTGATTTATTTCGTTTTTAAAAATAACATCTCTAAAAATACTTATATTAGTTGTACCTGGAAACCATACTCTGTAACCTTTGGTATTATTGCTATAACCAACAAAAATGCCCTTTTTGCTTTTTGCATCCCACTTTTGTCTTTTCTCTTTTGGAATATGAGTGAATACTTCAGTTCCAAATATTCTTAAATGACTTATTTTTGGATCCTTGTTAAAATAAAGCTCATACGGTGTTTTACCTTTAATTGAACTTGTACCAGTTAAATTCAGTATATACACAACTGTATTAACACTTTCTGCCCATAATGATATATCCAATTGCTTTGAATGTATTATTGTTCTTGCAGCTTCTACTATTGTCCGATTATCTCGTTCAATTTTTCCGTTTTGTTCTGGAGTGTACGGAACTGTTGTCTGATGACTAATTCCGTATTTCTGCAAAATACTAGTTATCTCATTATTAACAAATTCCAAACCGTTGTCAGTTCTTAAAACTTTTACTTTACATCCTGTATCAGTTTTAACTTTTTGTATAACCGTCCCGATTATATTTTTAACCTCATTTTTATGTTTCAGAAAATACACCATCCTATAATGTGTATAATCATCTTTTATTAATAGGAAATACTTTGACCCACCGATTGAATCTTTCTGCATCGGTCCACACAAATCTGCGTGTATTATTTCCCCTACTTTGTCACTACTTGTCGTACTTGGTTTAAACGAAAATTTATGTTGTTTACCCAACATACAAGAATCACAAAAAAATGTATTGTCCTTATCAGAAATCGTAATATTATGGTTTTTTAAACAATTAATTACGTACTGTATATTCTGATGTCCTAACCTTTCATGCCATAATCGCAACGAATCTTTAATCGCAATATTTACATGATGCGTAGTATTATCTAATACTTCGACTTTGAACTGCAATTGAAATAATTTTTCTTTTCTCTCAGCTACACATACAATTTTATTGTTTCTAGTAAATACACATTTATGTTTATCACTAATCATTTTAAGTCCTTTATCTAAAGCTGAACCGCATGAAAATAAATTATATTTTAATTCCGGCACGTGTAACACATTTAATAGATAATTTTTATTCCAATTACCTTTAACATACGACCAAATTAATATTTTACCAGTACCGATTGCGTACATACTTGATCCGTTCCCGATTTTGACTTGAGTCGGATTTTCTAATTTTTCGTAATCTCGAAACCAATCATAATTTGCACACATATGATCTGATGCACCTGAGTCCAATATCCATTGTTCATCATCTTTGATTGATACCAATGTCGACTCACTTATAAATGCGTTGTCGTCTTTATCCGACGATTGTCCTTGATTTTTAAGAAAACTCCTGCATTCCCTCTTGATATGCCCAACTTTTCCACAGTAAAAACATGGACCTATTTTTTTAGTATTACTTGAACTACTAAAATTGTTTTTACCTTTTTTCTGACTACCATTTTTCCAGCTCGACTTATTTTGAGATTTTGTAGTAAATGCACTAGATTTTTCAACATCAATATTACACTTATTGCTTTGTTGTACCAAACGTGATTCTTCCAATAACAAACGACTTGTTAAGTTATTAATCGTTTTATTCTCTGATTGCATTGAATCCCATGCGCTGTAAAAATGCTGATAGCTATTTGGTAGAGTCATTAGAATTTTTGTTATTAACATGTTATCTGTTATATTTTCACCTGCTAATCTTAAATCATTAGTTAATTTTTCTAGTTTAGAAATATGTGCTGAAATGTTATCTGTGGGATCCTTTACGT